GTTCGTTAGTCTAAAACTCGTGAACGGCTGAACCGATTTGGCTAATTTTGGTCTTGAATTATTTGTGGAAGTCCAGAGAAGGTTTAAAAGGTAGATAAATATGAAAATGATCGGAATTAAATAAAAATAACAATTTTGTTTTTCCTTTGATGTCTCCCCCGTCGGACGGATTCCTTTGGTTTGTTATAAGTTTATTTTATATAAAAGTTTAGGTCTTTTATTTATCGATTGAGGCACTACAAAGTCTGCCGGGTCCGCTAGATATGTATAAATATCAGCCATATTCTCAATTGTATCCACAATAGAGTATCGACAAAGGCAATCCAGCTATTAAAGTCGAAACGCTTTACGGCAGGAATAAGTAGTAGAATAGATTCATCCTTTTTTACTGTTTTAAATGCAGAAGAACATAAGTCCCAGCTAATAGTGAATAGCTACTGATGCTCACAGAGATCACGAGCTCTCACACTCAGGACTCTAGGATGGTAAGAAATCGAAATAGATTTTTCATCAAAAACATTAAACAATGTATTGTGTTATACAAGGAATATTCGAAAACAATCACAAAAGTTAATCGCTCAAGGAGAAAACAACAAAAGAAAGGTTATCCGTGGTATGTTTACATTGAATATTGGAGATTACGAGCGTAAGTGGTCGCCACAGTGTAGCGAAGAACAGTAGTCGTGGTTTGAAACTGGGTAGAGGAACTGCATACGTCATAATATTTTTACGCGCTGGGGTTCGGGATAAATAAAAAAATCTACCGAAGTACAAGTTATCACTGTATTTATCACTTAGAACACTTCAGAAACACTTTAAAATTCTCAATTCGCTTCTTCCGCTTCGCTTCAGGTGATCCGTTCGCTGTTTCGCTTCGGGTGTTCGGATTACTGACTGACCGCGTGCCATCTCTACAACACTTTTATAGCCGATACCACATATCTAGAATTATCGAGAATATTCCACAAGAGTCGAGTATTGTGTTTCCGCTATCTGACAATAGATGGCGTTATACTTCTCGTGCGTTCTAAATGCTACTAGATCTTTCAAATTCGTTCAGCTATTTGGCGATAGATGGCGTTACTCTTACCGGTGTAGGTAACAATATCATAGGACATGTTACTCTATTAACATAATAACTAGTCAGGTCATAAGTATTGTCACACAGTAAAAACTTTTCTTTTAGAATGCTGGCCACAAAAAAGTTTATTGAATTCGAATTTCGAATTGTTCATGAAAATAAAAATGTATACTTTTAGAATTTTACTCATTTTTAAATATGGAGTGGACGCTTAAAGAAGACCGTGTTGCAGTTATTGCGTTGCATCGTTGCGGTTACGCGCCAATTCAAATTTTTAACATACTGAAAAATTTGAATATAACCAAAAGATTCGTTTATCGTACCATCAAACGATACAATGAAGACTCTAGTGTAGATGACAGGTCAAGAAGTGGTCGCCCTCGGTCTGTTAGGACTCCAGCAGTGATAAAAGCTGTGAAGGCGCGAATTCAAAGAAATCCCAAACGTAAGCAGAAACTGTTGGCCCTTCAGATGGGGTTAAGCAGAACCACGGTGAAAAGGGTGTTAAATGAAGACTTAGGGCTTCGGGCATATCGAAGAAAAACAGGACATCGTTTGAATGCTCGTCTAATGGACCTGAGACTGAAGAGATGCCGCGCTTTGTTGAAGCGGTACGCGGGAAAAAAATATCGGGAAATTCTTTTTTCGGATGAAAAAATTTTTACCGTAGAAGAGAGCTACAACAAACAAAATGATAAGGTGTACGCACACAGTAGTGAAGAAGCGAGCAACCGTATTCCGCGTGTCCAACGAGGTAATTTTCCATCCTCGCTATGGTTGGGAGTTTCTTATTGGGGCTTAACACAGGTACATTTTTGTGAGAAAGGTGTAAAAACGAATGCAGTTGTGTATCAAAATACAGTCCTGACGAACCTTGTGGAACCTGTTTCTCATACCTTGTTCAATAACAGGCACTGGGTATTCCAACAAGATTTGGCGCCAGCTCATAGAGCGAAGAGCACACAAGACTGGCTGGCGGCGCGTGAAATCGACTTCATCCGGCACGAAGACTGGCCCTCCTCCAGTCCAGATTTGAATCCGTTAGATTACAAGATATGGCAACACTTGGAGGAAAAGGCGTGCTCAAAGCCTCATCCCAATTTGGAGTCACTCAAGACATCCTTGATTAAGGCAGCCGCCGATATTGACATGGACCTCGTTCGTGCTGCGATAGACGACTGGCCGCACAGACTAAAGGCCTGTATTCAAAATCACGGAGGTCATTTCGAATAAACTTTAGTGTCATAAGAATCTATGTTTTGTTAAGTTCATTTTGGTATATGAATGGTTACATAATGAATAAACTTGTTTCAATTATTTTACATTAAACATGTGACAGAATTTATGACCTGACTAGGTATATAAGTTATACTATATAGTTCGTGTATTTTCGTAACGTTCTTACAATTACAATTTTAGTCTGAACATACATAAATTTTTACGCCGGTAAGAGTAACGCCATCTATCGCCGAATAATCGAACGAATATCGAAGGATCTAGTAGTATCTAGAACGCTCGAGAAGTAGAATGCCATCTACAATAGATAGCTACAGATAGCGGAAACACACAATACTAGACTTTTGTGGAATATTCTCGACGATTCTAGGGATTTCGTCTCAACTATAAAAGCGCTGCAGAGATGAGACGCAGTCAGTCAGTAATCGGAATTACTCGAAGCGAAACAGCGAACGGATCACCTGAAGCGAAGCGGAAGAAGCGAATTGAGAATTTTAAAGTGTTTGTGGAGTGTTTTATGTGTTCTAAGTGCTAATACAGTGTTAACTTGTAATTTGGTAGATTTTTTTATTTATCCCGAACCCCAGCGCGTAACAATATACCTACATCACCGTGTGTGAGCCTACTGATGTAGCCTGCACTGTGCGTGTAGGGTATTGATTTGTCTCTGCGGGGCGAGAAATATATGCGAGTACATAAATAGCCTTTGTGTTGACGGGTACCGTAGGTATTTTCCTATTTTACCCCAATACCGTAAGCAGGTTAGATAGAATGACAAAGGACAATTTTGAACGGATGAATTTTTTTTAAAACGCGATACATACTGAGTTGAAGAGTTCAGAGTTTTTTAGGAAGGAAGAATTACTGATGGCCCGAAGGTATTGCCAATTTCACGAGGACAAGTAATCCAAAGTGTAGTGGTTATAGAAGCTTTTGAACACCATCGCTCTCATTGATCCATCAAATTCTTTCTTTTCTTTTAATATTTACTAAGCTAGCCCGGCGAACTTTATTCCGCCTTAGAGGCAATAAATGAGCAGACTTTTGATTTTATCAAGGTAAATTTTTTATTTGGATAATTAATGTAAATTAAAAAAGCAAGTATTTTAATGATTCTTTATTGGCCATGTATTTTAGTTGTTATTATTATATTTTTATTTCTTGTTCTTCTTCAGTCCTGTCACTCGCAATATTTCGAATCCGAATATAATTAGTCGCATTACGGCTTCGTCGTGAAAGATTTGCTCGTGTTGGTCGCGGCATGGTTTTCTTAACGATTACTTATCTCGGCACAATAAGCTAATAGAAACTCGAAACAAACACATCAACCGGTCAACTTCAAAATTCTACTATAATTAACCATAGACTGCTACATTACGCTTAGCTGTCAGTTGCGTTTTGTTATACTACGTTTTACGTCACGTCCCACGGGAACGTGATAAAAAGTATCATATGTCCTTCTCCTGGTTCTAAGCTACCTCCCCACCAATTTTCAGCCAAATCAGTTCAGCCGTTCTTGAGTTATAAATAGTGTAACTAACACGACTTTCTTTTATATAAATATATAATATAATAAGATAAACCGCGAACTTATGGATTCTTTCTTTTGAATGTTGTGAGCGTGCGTTGCAGTCAATACACATGCATTTGTAGCACTTAAATGGGTCACACTAAGCGCCCTTCGAGTGCTTTGAGCACCACTCGTTGCGAATATAACAAAAATCATCTCTCGAACAACCTCCCTAGAGCTCTCCCAAAAACCTCGCAAACCAGCTTACCGGTGGTAGGACTTCTTGTGAGTCCGCACGGGTAGGTACCATCACCCTGCCTATTTTTGTCGTGAAGCAGTAATGCGTTTCGGTTTGAAGGGTGGGGCAGCCGTTGTAACTATACTTGAGACCTTAAAACTTATATCTCAAAGTAGGTGGCGGCATGAAAGTTGCAGATTTCTGGGGCTGGTGACCAATTAACATCAGATGTACTGTGAGCTCGTCCAACCGTCTATGCAATAAAAATAATATAAATCCAGTGGCACCGGGCGCGTGTATCAAATTAACAAGAATTTTTGTTGTAGATTATAGCACGCTTGTTTCTCCGGCATGATTTCACTACATTAGACCAGGCTTGGCTATTCCCGTATCATTAATTGTGCAACTTTTCAAATAAATATTTTATTGGCCCTACAATCTGAACACTTTGTTTGTTATAATCGATTGTTTATGCAAAAGTCGCGAAGGACCAAATGATGCTTATCAAGTCATATTTGTTCACTGCTGTATATAGGTTTTCCGGCAATGTATTCAGTTTCTTATCCACTATTTAGTAGCGTTGCGATCACACCACGAAATTCAATATAGTTGTAGTTTTTCAAGACTTTAATTTATTTCTCAAAGTGAGATTTGTGGTGAGTGGTTACCGTCGCTCATGGACTTCAGCAATGCTAGGGGCAGAGCCAAGCCGCTGCCTACCGCTTAATACTCTCCATAAGCCTCGTTTGAAGAAGGACATGTCATAGCGCTCGGGAAACACCGTGGAGGGGAGCTCATTCCATAACCGGATGGTACGCCAAAAAATACCTCTGGAAACGCACTGTGGATGACCGCAGTGGCTCCAGGTAGTATGGACGAACTCTGCTCCGGTGGCGGGCGGTGCGATGGTAAAAACGAGATTTTAAAATACTTACAAAAGTAGAATTTGTCATGAGGAGCCTCGTGGTCAGGTTCTTCACGTTGAACAGAGTCAGGCCTCCCCATCTGTCTCTGAACACTAATTCTTCATCTGTAACAAGTTTACGAAAATTATAATCATAATTTTTTTTCCCACCTATGCTGATAGCTTTGAGAGGCTATTTCAGTTTTCTTTTATTGCATAGATGGGCGGACGAGCTTACAGCACACCTGGTGTTAAGTGGTTACTGGAGTCCATGGACATCTACAACGTGAATGCGCCACCCACCTTGAGACCTTAGAACTTATATCTCAAGGTGGGTGGCGCATTTACGTCGTAGATGTCTATGGGCTCCAGTAACCACTCAACACCAGGTGGGCTGTGAGCTCGTCCTCTCATCTAAGCAATAAAAAAAAAAAAAAAAAAGATACAAGTTCTAAGGTCTCAGTATAGTTACAACGGCTACCTCACCCTTCAAACCGAAACGCATTACTGCTTTATGGCAGAAATAGGCAGTGTGGTGGTACCTACCCGCGCGGACTCATAAGTGGTCCTACCATCAGTAATTACGCAAATTATAATTTTGAGGGTTTGATTTTTATTACACGATGCTTCGCCCTAACATGTAGGTGAACTTCAGGGGGCTCAAATCGGAGTATCGCTAACACTGACCCTAGCAAGCCCACTGAAAAAGATCCGGCGAGAAACTCACTGTATCTAAGGGTTAATTCGCTCGTCGAGCCCTTCGTCGCAAGCGACGGGTTCGACGAGGACGGTGACCGGTGCTTGAGGTACCTAAAAGCACCGTTAACGGATCGGGAGGATCCGTAATGACGTGTTTTGGGCGACGTCCACTATTTACCATTCGGTCTACAGGGTATGTAATCTCCAGCGGCCACGACAAGAGGGTTCTCATGTCGTGCCGCCTTTTCAAAGTGGCGCAGATAATCAATGTAACTTGGTCTACGAACTTTAATGGGAAAATAACTTAACATTTCACATTTAACGGTCGCAGATAAGAGTCCTATGCTATGGTTATTGGGAATATATAACATAATAAACAAGAACAAGGACATCCAACTGGGCCCGCGCCTGATTGAAATTAGAAATCATTGGATTTTTGTACTGGTGGTAGGACTTCTTGTGAGTCCGCACGGGTAGGTACTACCACCCCGCCTATTTCTTCCGTGAAGTAGTAATGCGTTTCGGTTTGAAGGATGAGGTAGCCGTTGTAACTGTACTTGAGACCTTAGAACTTATTCTCAAGTTGGGTGGCGCATTTACGTTGTAGATGTCTATCGGCTCCAGTAACCACTTAATACCAGGTGGGCTGTGAGCTCGTCTACCCATCTAAGCAATAAATAAAAAAGCTACCTGTGGCTGTATTTTTCAATTGCAAAGAGGCTATTGAATGCTTAAACTACTTGCAAATGTACCTCGTGCATAAATGTTTGAAGAAATACAAACTATTAGTTGTAATCCACAACCCAAAATCGAGAGCTTCGAAATTGCTAGTTAACGAGAATTAATGACCAACTCGCAAAATTCCTGAAGGGACACAAATTGGATTCTAATTTAAACGTTTTGTTGTAGTAAAAGATATGTCGTGATTTAGGCAGCGGCTTGGCTCTGCCCCTGGCATTGCTGAAGTCCATGGGCGACGGTAACCACTCAACATCCGGTGGGCCGTACGCTCGTCTACCTACAAGGGTAATAAAAAAAAAATAGCACCAGTTCAAACTTATGTTGATTCAATGGGATTTAAAATTAATCGTGTGTGTAATAAAATATCCGTATAGAGAACAGAATAGAACACAGAGGGTGAAAGTTCATAATGGTATAAGAATTTCAGTGATTATGAAATTGATATTGTTACGCGCTGGGGTTCGTGATAAATAAAATTCCACCAAAGTACAACTAAAAACTGTATTCAGAACTTACAACACTTAAAACACTCAACAAACACTTTAAAACTCTCAATTTGCTTCTTTTGCCTCGCTTCAGGTGATCCACTCGATGTTTCGCTTCGAGTAGTTCTGATTACTGACTGAGTGCGTGCAAGCAAGAAGGGTCGTCGTACCCCCTTTCGGGGGTACGGAACGGGCCTCGGGGCAATCCCCACTGCCCGGGACGAAGCTCCCTGCCACACAGGGCAGGGGTGATGTGGATGCAAGATGTTATACTAGGGGGGGGCTGTTCGTTATGCGCGTCTCGGCGCACTACATCGACAAAATAAATAAATACTTAAATATAATACGATGGGCTNATATTCAAATAAAACGGTAACGCAGCTTACACAGGCTGGTCGACACCTACCCGTATTAAACTAATCGTTTAAGGAAAGAAGTGTCGATCCACTTACCTGTTCCCGGGTCCTTCGTCTCACTGTTCGGGGCGTTTCCACTCCGAAACAGCAACTCCAGATGAAACACTCTCACACTTGGGCACACACAATCGCACAGCACTAAACAATCGGGGCCTCTTAGCACTGGTGTCCCGGGGACTGAGTGCGTGCCATCCCTACAACGCTTTTATAGCCGATACCTCATCCCTAGAATTATCGGGAATATTCCACACATCTCTAGTAGTAGTTTCCGCTAACTGTGAATAGATGGCATTGCACTTCTCGAGCGTTCTAGGCGCTTCTAGAACCTACGATATTCGTTAGACTATTCGGCGATAGATGGCGTTACTCTTACCGGCGTAACAATATTTCTTTGGCAACAAACTGCAAAGTTGACAGACAGGTAATCCTGTTAAATGTTAGATATACTCTATAGATACCACGGGCAGCTTTACGTAACCCACTCCTTTATATTGCAGAAACGACTGGCTTCCATTAAATACTACAACACGAACGGATCAGTGTGCTTAGTGCGAGTTTTTTAACGTTCTCGATAGCGTAAAAGTTAACTCAAATTTGTATGGAGTTGGAAGGTTTGCCTACGTTTGCCGCTAGGGGCGCTGTTCTAGTTGCATACAAATTTTAGGTAGCTTTAAGTACACTGATCACGTATGAGCTGTTAATTAACACAGGCAAATATCAAAATCAATATCAGACGTATCCTATGTATATTGTTTGCAGTAAGACAACTGCTTTAAAACAGTAAATTGCGTCCTATCGGGAGCCCTACCTCGATCAATCACCCGGACCGAAAGTACACAAGTTAGCTTTTATAGGGGTAGATAGAATTTACGGCCGCAAGCTTTGAACATCTCATACGGGTAAGAAAGGGTTTAGACTTAAATTGTAATCTATGATATCAAATTTGTACCTAGTATAAGAAAAAAAACGACGAACATACAAACGGACAAATAAATATGTTCGTCTTTGTCTTATTGGGTTTTAGGAGTGCCCAGTTTGGTTATATAAATTGTAATATATATATATATATATAAAAAATAAATATTGGTGATAAATCGATTTTGTATCCCTATTTATAGAGAACTTTGATCAATTTTCGAAAATATCATCTAGAATCAAAATCGAAAGAAGTAGCATGAGAAAAATTTCAAATTTATTCCACACTACAGTTGACAGTCTATGGTATCCCTAAGGCGACAATAGCTTCAGACAATGAAGGAAGTTCATCCCTCAGTGACAAGATTTGTGGACTATACTTTTTCTTATTGAAGAAATTTAATTCTGTCCTGTCTGTAGTCCTATCTAGTGACCTGTTTGAATAAATAGTGTAATGCCTGTACGAGTAACGCCATCTGTTTTCAAGTGGCAAAAGCAGATATCTAAACGACTAGTACTATCGGAATTGTTCTGTAAAATTGTAGTCAGGACGTGTCGACTACAAAAGCGTTGCAAAGACGACACGAATGGGTTAGTAATCAATTCTAGTAGTAGTGAAAGAGCGATCGGATCACGTAAAACGAAGCGAAGGAAGCGAACGTTATACTGAAGTCTACTTTAAGTGTATCTTATACCTTTAAACGAGCAATTCTTGTATATTAATATATATATAAGTCGACTATTATCAAAGCCGGCAATGTGACTTTTGGAAATTATTGGTAAATCAGAAAAACGAATTATTGACTTTGTATTCCATTGGCAGTCACAAAACTCTTCTGAAAGTCATCTTAGATAAATAACAGGTTAACTATTAACCTTTATTTAATGCAGGTTTTGAACCGTATTCTTTGAAGGAGACGATTATATTCAAATCAATCTGTATTGACATATCAATAACATTTTTTTGTCCAAATGCACAGATTGCCACCTTTGATAATAAACGACTCAATATATATAATCTGAATCTCGGAAACGGCTCCAACGATTTTCATAAAATTTAGTATACAGGGGATTTCGGGGGCGATAAATCGATCTAGCTACGATTTATTTTCAGAAAATGTTGTTTTATTCGTGTTTTCAATAATCAACTTTTCCCGACATCTATCGGCGAATAATAATACTATTTTTTTTTAATTGAGGGCAACTAACCGCTTTAAAGACACAGCAAGATGGCGTTATCAAAAAAAAAAACGGGCAAAGCTCGGTTATCATCATCTAGTTAATAATAAAATTGAGTTTTAATTCATGCTCGGGTGAAAGTTTTTATTTATCTCGAGCACCATACCAAGAAATTCCTTTTATGTGCCAAGAGTGTATTTAATTTTATATTATTTTGAGTGTTTTGTTGTACGTTCTGAACATCAGTGTGTAGTGCACTTACACAGTGGAACAGGGTAGTCCTGACAAGACTTATGGGGGTCTAATTGAGATTTTAGGAGATGCATTCCTACAAAAACTTAATTATGATACCCAGGAGTTGTTGCTTTTTTAATTGCTGCAATTACACTGATGTGACTCTATGCGAACGCTTAGTTAGTGTAGTGCTTAGTGATTGTACTACATTAACAGGGTTTCAATAAATAGTTCCAGTCAATATAATTAATAAATGTGCTTAGTAATCTGAATATACATATGGAATGAATATAACATTAAATTCTTATAGGCTTAAAGAAAATTTTAATAACGGCCTGAATAATACTATCAAATATACTTGACAATCTATACTTGAATATATAAAACAATATGAACAACGACTACAATTACAATCTAAAATATTGCTGTATGTATTTTTTTAAACTTTACGTCCTAT